TCCTCCTCACAAATCATTAAAGGTTTTATATCTTCACTCTGACTAGTTATACTTTGTAAACTTGTGGAGTCAGAACTCCACTCTGAAGCAGTAACTCTATTCTGTGACACTCTATTCAACAACGGCTTACCAGTTGCAACTACAGACTTCTTCACAACACCGTTATCGTCACACAATTCGGAGTCAGACCTGGAGTTTACATTTAGCTTATCACTGAACTTGCTCACCGGTTCACAGTTCACTTCTGTATGCACCTCTTGCACACGTGTAAAACAAAACCGTGTTTGTCTTGCATCTTGTAACTTATCTGTTGAGGATGTACTACGAAACCTGTTACACTCACTAGGTCTATATGCATTACTAGACATCATGGAGTCTTCTCGATATCCACCTCTCTGAGGCCTACTCGTCATCAATGATTGCATTTTGATCTCAGACTGCTCTATTCTAGGGGTGAGATGTAATAGACTGGCGAACTTGCTCATAGATTGATTGACACTAGTATTTACCAGTTTCAGGATATCATCAAACTTTGGCTCGATACCCTCATCCTCCATACGGGAGCTCATCTTCACCCACTTCCTTTGCAGTCGAGTAGGTAGACGTCTTGCTATTACTTCTAGTATAAAACTCGAGTTGAGGTCACTCATGCGATTCATCGAAATCATTCCATTCTTGTAAATTAGCAAATTATCTAAAAACTCAGTGAGTGCCTGGGAGTCATCCTGTAATTGACCACCATTACCCTTAACAGCCTCGAATAATTTCCCTGCAATCATCGAAGGTCTTCCAAACCTTTGACGTAATATGCTCATAGCCTCGTAGTAGCCCTCTTTTGGCTTCATAAACTTACAGCACTGTATAGCTCTTGCAGCATCTCCAGTGCAATATCTCATCAAATACATTAACTTCAATTCATCATTAATAAAAACTACTCAACATGATCTCAAACTCCTTTACAAATTGTAAATAATCAGCCGGGTTTCCATCAAAACACCGTGGTTCAAATTTAGGGAGTTTGATGTTCCTATTATCCCTGAACGGCGAAACAGTAACATCAACCATGTCATGCTTAACATCAGACACATCGTTACAATTAACAGACAAGTCACCATGACTTACTTTCCTGTTTGCATCCAAGACACTCTGTCCCTTCTTTGACCCAGGCATTGTTGAACTTGACCCAATTCCAAAAAGTTCCAGATATTGCTTGTTCAAAGAGGACTTGACCGGCACCAGGAAAAATGAACGGCGACTATCCAAACTTTCACCAACTGTTTCAATCCGCCAGATCTGTTTCCATCGTCAGAAACTGTCAATCACGTCTCATAAACCGTTAATGCCCAGCTCTCGCTACGCTCGGGCCCACGCTGTTCCTCGAAGATTTCAGAAACGCTTAGTAATAACGGACGAAAAACCAAAACACCGATCTGCCGCTTGATATTTCTTTATTGTTACACCAACATATAAAAAGAATAAGTGAACTAAGGTTTCTGACGATGTTTCACTCTTCTTTCTGAACAGCGACCGATGAGACGATGACTGTCGTATTCATGCCTCCGCGAAAATTGGGGAAGTTGGTTTTGAGCAAACAACCAAGAATTGATCGTTCAATCTTCAACTACGTTGACAACAATACTTCTGTATTTCCTGATGTGTTGCACTCACTGGTAATCTAGCAGATTTTTCCAGCTGTGCACAGAAATGATTGTTTATAAGCGAAAAGGATGTTTTATACTACTGGGATTAACATTTATCAAGTGTATGTATAGTCTCCAGTGTACATGTTAAGCAAATTTTGCTATCGACTGTAAATTGTGACTGAATAATATGGTCCTATTTCTGTAACAATTTGATGATGCCTGTAAACTGGCGTCCCTCATGTACTGTATCATAAGAATAAATTGATTTATTTATTAAAAATTTGAAACGCAAAGCTATGTTTTGACCAATTAACAGAAAACTAGTGGAATTTCGGTCACACGACCGTCGGCGTGGGTTCTAGCCGGCCATTTTTTCCATAGCTCACGTAGAAGATACTGGCTCGTAATAGAATTCACTTTTACCATTTTTCTCTAGGGATTAGCAAGTTTACTGTGGTGTTGTCCTATGTTCTCTGAAATGATGGCTGAAGCTGCAAAACTTTCGGGAACTGATTTGATCTCCTAGAAGTAATCCATTAATCTGTCTCCGCTGTTTAAGTTTCATGAATCCTAAAATATCCTCTTTCGAAATTGGCATTGTTACGAGCACCCAATTTCTGCATCGGCATAGGTCAAGTCATGGGGACAGTATCATATAAACTTGGGTAATAATGTATATTATGTAGCCAATGCGCATATTTTTTCGGACGGTTTAATATGAACTTGGATTTGGCATACATATAAGTCATGAATTTGTTCCTGAACTTAGTTTTGACTATAAGAGAAGTCCTCAGGGCCGACTGGCTTGGATAGGAAACAACAATCCGTATTAATCTCTATTCATATTCACTCACCCGTATGAATTTGTGTGTGTTAGTGCTGGCGGGCAAAATAAAGAAGAGCCAAATATCATTTAAAAGACAGTGGTGTCTTATATTTAACAAAATGTACGCTCGAGTACTGGATTATTTTGGTGAAGACTCGAATACCACAGAAATTTATAAGATCATTGCACTTTATTTTGTAAAAATAACTTAATTTTTCCACATGCTATTATTGAGCAGTGCATTAATAAAGTGATACTTGAAGGAGAATATTCCGTGTAGCTGTGTAACATACTGACATTAATCTATCATTGCTTCCCCACTTCTCTCCTCTAATACCATTCCTGCTGTTGCTTAGAAGCCTGGATTTCGATGATGTCAGGCGGTAGATGGTACTCTCGGTAGTCAATCTGTTTTAAACCACCTGAATATGTGAGGGGCATACTGGAGCTGAAGATGGCTCTGCCAGAACTGAACTGCACTAGTTTAGGGAACCAATTAGCTACGTTGGTTGCAAAGACTCGAGGTCGCTTCCAGTCGGCCTCAACTAGAAATAACTATAGCCACTTTTATATGGCCGTCCGTCCTGCTAGACCTCAGCTTTAACCGCACTACATGGAGACTCTTTAGCCTGGCCCACCTAGCTGGATGGTAAGGCTGTCACTAGCATAGCCCCAGCTAGTGAAGGGAGAATGCAACATGACTGCTGAATTATGTCAACCACTGTGTTTTAATCCGCATGGATAAACAAATTAATCGTTGAAGGTGAAATGGCCGTGAACAAGTGAAGTCGATGGACTTCTTTGATCTCTTACACTAGTACCAAATTCAACAGGGACTCAGCTGCACACGATGACACAGAAGCACATAAACAACAGTTTGAATCCTTCAGGAATGTGCGCTAACGTGCAATGTATTCAACAGACGAAGGACTCATTTTGCTTTCAAAACTAAGTTTACCAACTTTCCCAGCTGCTCACTTAGGCACTTCAAAGGTGTTAGCACATGAAGACCATATAGAAGTCAAATCAAAATTCAGTTGCATCACTGTTTTTCCGCTTCAGCTCATTTACATCTTGGTGGTGACAGTCGGTGATCAGGGAATTCATAGGGAGAAGACAAGTAACCATATGTGGAATGTCTTCTTTGTGATTTTAAAGGCTGTGCGCATCTAATGAGTGATGCTGAATGATGAAGACCCTTTTGTCTGTTTGATCAAGTTCCCACCCCCTACTTCCTCTTCGGTTTGGTTTTGAAATTAACGTTCAAACTAGATTCATTATCGGCTGGCAATTTAGATGATTTACATGCTCCAAAAGCTGGTCAGAAGAGATAAGCACTAAATGCGTGCATGCGAGAGACATAATTATTAGGTAGGATGATATAATACGACATAAACGCATCACGTAAGGAAATAACAGCTACCACTAATAATATGAGTTAAAATAATTAAGATGTTTGCATGTCTAGCTTACTTGTTTTACATTCATAACCATTCCTGATGCACTTTAAAATAAGAATGTTTGTCGAAGTTTTGGAGGCTTCTTCATTTTAAAAACTCGGTTTTATATTAGGGATCGCCGATGTTGAAAACATTTCCATCTGCCTGTTCTCACAAAGCCTCAATGCAGCCATATAAGCAGCCATAGGGATAGCGAAAAAATATACAATTGAGATAACAATGGCAGGATGTGACTTGATCACACTCACGCTTACGGCGTTCAGAAATTGACTGAACAGGTGTCGAAGTCGTGGAGAGTCTTAAGAAGGCTCAAGAAAGTTGACAGTTACATGATGAAGTCTCAGAGACCCTGAAGATATAGCAGTAAATACGGTTTCCTATGAGAAGCAAGTTGAAAATAGTTCCGTCTTAGTTTGTGTACTGGAGATATCACAGTGTAAACAGCTGAATGGTTTTCGAACACAATTTATTCTATATAAATATATCGAAATGACCTATGACACAAGTTGGTGTGGCTATTTGTTTAAGAATGTAAATGCGGCACCAAAGTTGTGAAGTATATACCATCAAAGAAACAATTTCTTTAATGATTCAGGACTTCTAAAGCGCTACACACATGCCTACTTACATAAGAATGTTTCAGAAAAATCTTGGAGCAGTCACGAGTAACCTGTCCTTTCATTAAAACACTTGCAAGCTAGAAATCGAAAAATTACAGCCTGACAACAAACCTTTATCTAAAAATGTTAAGGGTGTTGAAAAAACGGCTCAAGGGAAGTCGTATTTTGTATCTTTTGCATAACATAATAAATTCTCGCCTGATAACCCCAAGTCTTCAACTAAGCAATGAAATATAGATGTAATTAACGATTCTCCCATAGAGTGGTTAGCTCTTAAAGTCAGCTGTATGAGATGTGACGTATACATAGTGTGAAAATGTTATTAAAAGCCTCAAGTATTTTATATTGACTCAAGAATCTGAAATCTGTTGTTTTAATGGTACACTCATAGTTTACTATATTAGGCGTTCCTTTAAAATTCTTTTCCAATACCGATGAATTGGCAATAGAGATGACACCCTTAGTTTTTATACTGTTTATTTCGTTAAACATAAAATTATTAAATTCACAGAGATACAATGGTATGTAGCATATTGTATGGCGTAAACATTTAGTTGCAGGCTATTCATATGAAGCAGATTTTCTGGATATGGACCCGGATTCTATTCTGGAGGAAAATGCCATTATAACAGCAAATGCTACGTGTGGAGTGCAGCAAAAAGAGTACTTCTGTCGCCTTGTTGAACATGCTGACGGTTACGCCACATATCAAGGACGGTAAGTATGTTTACTTGAAGTCATATAACTTCGTAATATATATTTTTGAATGATATTAACGTTTCTAAAGAACATAACAGGCCAGGTGGTCTTGAGGGTAATTTCATACATGATAAAGTACTTGCTTTTTAAAGAAATATGAAAGTCATTAGCTTCACAAAATGCAGGTTCCAGTGATTCTGTTTCTCTTATGAAGTCACTTAGTACTTCCAATTTCAGCGGCACAAAAGAACAATAAGAATGCATATCTATTAGACAGTAAAAATGTTTTGTTGCTTGTTTATTAATTTTAATACTTAATCTTACCCAGAAATCCTCAATAGATATATGAAGTCTACTGTTTAATAACTTTTATCTTATTCGGTCCACTTGGAAACAAACTTCATTTTGAGGTACATATCTTAAAATGAAAGTCTGGTTTGAGTTTTTGTCTAAAAAGCCCAAGATTTCATGAAATTATGAAGTTGTTCAAGACCACATTTGATTTCTCTCACCTTGAAAGGGCTAATTTTGTCAGTGGTACTCACAGTAATAATAGTACAGGGAAACCACTGATTTTCTTTCTGAAGTCAGTCCATAGGACTGAACAGATACTGTGGTGGTCGGGAAATATACAAAAACTTAGCTTCAGTGAACTGAATCCTTTGTCATGAAACACATTATTTATGATGAGACTTTATAGAATACAGCTTTTCCAGCATTCAAAACTTGTTCTTATTCCCATATCCATTGGTAGATTTAGGGAAAGATTTAACTTACTTATTCATGAGACTTTGCATTTATCAATGTTATCTGACGCAAATAAGTATTTTCTGCAGTCTACCTCCAAATTAGTTTTTATTAAAGACCACTCATATTTAAACTTTACGCTTTACTCCTAACAGCTTCAACACCTCTTTAATTACAGTTTATTATGACAAACTTAAATTGGATGGATTATATATAATCTATCTATGAAATCACTAGCTTAAGTTACAGTTATTTTTTAATAGATGGTTTATGGGTGGTTTACAGTGTTTCAAGTAGCTTTGCTGACAAACTGACGTGGATGAGATAACCACTGCAAAGGGAATAGCACTGTGTCTTTAGTGTAGTGCATTACTCCACGTATATGCTCTTGATTAGCAGTATTGCCCCCTAATTTAATCATGTTACGGTGTAAGAGGGGTGGACACACATCAATATATTTTACTAAAATGTTTCAATGAATTCTTCGAATCCCATTAAAATGTTCCTTCCGTATAGCAGCTCCATAACATGAAGAATATATATAGATGGCCAACTCCTTTTGGTGAATCAAGTTTTCCTTTGATTACAATCTTGTGAGCCTTTTAGTCCAGTAGCTCAAGATATTACCAGGCACCGTTTAGAATAAAACGGAGTGAAATACTTTAGTTGAAAATTATCATCCTTTTCTCTAGTCCACATTTTTGAGAAAAATGTTTTATTTTAAGCCTAAGATTATCTCTCTACGTAAGCTCAAGAGAGTGATGTGTAGTTACTACATTTTAGAAGTGGCATTCCACGCATATAAAGTTAGTCATAAATAATCCATACCAGTGATCTCTGATGTGGCCAATGTCTATTTTATTCAGACGGTCATATTTAATTCTGAACTGTGGTTGTTTACATTTCAGTTCCCGATAATTTAATAAATATAAGCATATCATCATCTGAAAAGCCTGTAGCATGGTAATAGTCCCTAACTTATCATGTCATAAACATATTTAAGCACATATAGCCCATCTAAATAGACAGCTGAGAAATAATTTAAACATTATTCAGCTAAGCACTTTGTAGATTTATTAAACAACTACATTATACCATAATAGTTCTCCTATACGGATCAGAAACTTGGTGGGCGGGTCACAAAGAATATTTCCAACAGCCTGTTGCAGACCTTTATCAACAACTGTCTTCGCTGTATGCTGAAGATCAGATGGCCGGAAAGAATCACCAACAAAACAAGAACCAATCGTCCAACAAATATGCATGAGAAAGTGGAGATGGATAGGACACTCACTAGTTGAGGAGGCCGCTGGGTGACATCGTGCGCGCGTCAGGCCATTGCTCGAGTGGAAGCCGAAATGAAAGCGGTGAGTGAGACGTCGGTGCGAGGGTGACGTGGAGGAGTTTGTGTGAGGAGGAGTTGAAACAGTATGGACTAACATGGATGTAGGTGAAAAGTACAGCAGAAGACAGAAGCAAGTGGAGATGTGCAGTTGAAGCCCTATGTTCCACTAGGAACCCAAGGGAACAATAATAATAATATTATACCATATTATCGATTACCATAACTTCTCTTAGCATGGTACCATAATTACTTCTGACTTTTGTATGGTTAATCTTCAGTATTCTAAAAAGATGTCATCTTTGCTTATATACGAGGATGTACAACATTGCGTGTGGAGAACTATGATTTGAAATTTGGTGTATTATTGAGAAGCCATAAGATGCCTCTGCCGGTGTTAATGTCTCACTGAAATTTACTCAGTGACGATAGCAAGTGGCCTAATCTAGGATATAACTCATGATAGTTTTAGATTTTGACAGAAGCTCACAAGCTCTCCTTCCTTTATTTCTTTCTTTTAGTTCACAACGAACACCGAGACAAGTTATGACTTACAGTCAAGAAGCAAAATCCTATCGAGATCCTAGTGGACAGTGGATACAGTGTGGCTACTGCGATGATAAAGATCCCAATTTACGACATCCAATAGAATATGTTTTACGTGGTGAACCTAATCTCTGGTGGCAGAGTCCATCTTTAGCACAAGGGCTACAATATCATGCTGTTACAATCACAATGGATTTTCGTCAGGTAAGTAGGATTATACTTGAACAGCGTTTTTTAAACAAATAGCCTGAGCCGAAAGAGAGGGAAGACTTGGCGTGTGGCTAGAAATCCTACCTATCCCTTAGGAAAAGCCATGCCACCGTTACTGAAACTTTAGGACTGAAGATGGAAGCCTTTTATTCCACTTAGAACACAAAGCAGTGAAGACAACTTGAAATTAACTCATATTTATAGTTAACAGTCACCTCATCAAAATACATTTCTGCCTTTTTCGAGTGAAACATAAGATTTCAAGCTTTAACCATTGAAGTTTTAACTGTATTGGTATGCTTGACAGCTTCAGAGCTAAACTTCCCGCCTTTTGGGAGTTGGGTTTTATATTGGCTAGCGAACGAGGTAGGGGATTTAGAAGTACTTCAGCAAGAAATTGATGTTGGACTACTTGAGTGGTTGGTGAGCATCCAAGCGATGAACCACCGACAAATAATTCTCTCTTAGCTCTTATAAATGCCAGTATCTACTTAAAGTAGGCAATATACTATAGCAGACTAAAATTAAACATCTCCATCGAATAAATTTGGTACTTTTACTGAGTCGTAAGGAGGGTGACTATATGTGTAAAACTTGGGAGCTGTGGTAGTAAGCTAATTCCATATTAGTTTGTTTATTAGATGTATCACACAGTGTGAAATAGTATTATTTACTGGATGACGTTTCGAACGAAATTTATTGTTCATAATCATATCACTTGTAATCACGCGACTTTGAAACTTGAGTTTTTAAGGTTCTCTTTGTTTTCTCCTATTTGTCGTAGGGATAGTAGAATTTTTCAGGTGTTGAATCATTCCTATTACATGTATTTGCAGTTGATTCAATTAACAAAGAAAAATTCACCTACTTATGAATTATCTAGATATTTACCCATGGTATTAAATCCTCTAAAAAAGCCGCTCGAAATCTAGACTAACTAATTCTTATGAACTAAAACACAGATTAGATAATTTAAAATTAGATAATGAAGAAAAAATGGTTACTTTTGACATTGTAAGTTTGTATACACTCATACCAATAAATATGGCTATAGAGGCAATCAGAAGCGAACTCATTTCCGACCAAGAACTCCAACTTAGAACGAAAATGCCATTTGTGGACATAGTGCTGGGAGTGCAGCTATGCCTGACTTCCACAGTATTTAAATTCCAAGGGAAACTATACAAACAAACTGAAGAAGTTGACATGGGGTCACGAGTATCCCCGGCTGTAGCAGATATATTCATGGATGAGTGGGAAAACATAGCGATCGAAACGTTCAGCCGCACTTAAAAGAATAGTAGAGGTATGTAGATGACACATTCACTGCACTTAGAACACAGGATGTAGATAGATTTTTCGAACGCAATAACTCAAAGGTGGAGACAGTTCAATTCATTTATGAATTAGAAAGTCAGAAAGAGGAGCTTTCAACGTTACATTGTAACGTAAAAGGGAACGAAGATGGGAAGGTAATCACTAGTATTCACAGGAAACCCACATATTGAAACAGATATTTGGACTTCCGATCATCCCATGCTACGTGACAGAGCACAAAAACTAAGTAGTACCAAGGAAAATCTAAGACAGGAAGTGATACACATAAAAGAAGCCTTGAAACTTAATAATTACTCGGATAAATTAGTTGAGAAATGTGTAGGGAAATGTTAAAATAAAATAAATAATGTTAGTAGCGATAGTGATATTGACAATAATGATAACAATAATAATGATAATAGTAATGTTGATAATAATAATATTAATGACGACACGAACAACAACAAGGAAACTAGATCATCACTCGTGATTCCATACAAGGAATGAACCTCGGAAACCTTACGCAGAACTCTTAACAAGGCAGGAATAAAAGTGACTGGCATTCAAACCCACAAACTCAATTAGAAACAAACTTTGTAGGTTAAAGGATCCTGTGGAGCCTTTGAAACAAAACAATTTAGTTTATCTAATACGTTGGTGGCTTAGCGTTTAGAACGCCCGCCGACCATGACCATGGTCCGGGGTTCGATCCCCGGCTGACTCACTCCTTTACCTCGTTAAGCCAGAAATAATGCTGGTAAAGAGGAAAGGTTGGGTATAAGGCTAGCAACCCCATCCTGTGAAATAAACACTGCTGCAGAAACTTCAAGCCACTAGCTTGAAGCCCCATGTTCCACTGGGGAACGTGAAGGGAAAAAAATACCCTGCAATGATTGTCAGGTCAAATACATAGTTCACACTAGCAGAACAGAGGCAGTCAGACTAGCCGAACAAAAAAACCTAGCAAAATCTAGATTGATTGACCCAAATAAGATAAGAAATCTAGAAAATAGTTCACCTATAGCACTCACTACATGCAGTTACACACATCTATACAATAGGATGGATGGGATAGGATGACAGTTTTAAAGTCTAACGTCACAGGGTGGAGGGAGAGATTGATAACAGAAGCTTTGTTTATCGAATCAACTGCAAACCAACATGTATAATAGGAAGGATTCAACACCTGTCCAGATGGATATCTGGAAAATTCTACTACCCCTACGACAAATAGGGGAAGAGAAAGAAAACTTTAAAACTCAAGTTTCAAAGTCGTATGATTATAATTGATATGATTATGAACAATAGATTTTGTTCTTTAGTTATTCCTATATTTAAACTTTGACGCTTTGTTAAAATGTTCTACCGACCCACCTGGTAATTATATCCTTTGTGGGATTGTTTAGTGTGACGAAAATGAACTTTGTTGATGAATAGTAAGGCTGATAAGGGTAATAATCATGAAAGCCAATAGATTTTCCGCATGAACATTAGAAATACATTCAACAAGTAGCTTCCTGTAAGAAATAGGGCTTGATGATGTTAAGACTGTGAGTTTCTTAAATATGCTTTCCACATCAAACACAGTTTAGTCTATCGAAACTACGGAATATTCTTTGTAGATTGAATGATGAACTTAGTGTCGCATAGTGTTATCTGTCCTCTGGGAGTTGTGATCACTGACAGTCATAGTATAAGGTATTAGTCAGACTTGTATCTTTTCTAGTAAGCTTTGATAACGTAACGTCAGAGTGACAAGTGAATATAAATTTCAGGAATGAAATAGCCCTCCTTTAAGTTATAGCTACGATGACTCATTGAGTATATTTAAATCAGTTCTCTTGTATAGATCAAGTTTAAACACTTACTGTAACACATATGGAGTTACTCAAACTGAAATAGCTTTCTACCTTAACGGCTTCTCTCCCCCTTCGTTTCTTCATGATCTACATTCTCATCAGTATAAACATGCTGTAATTTTTGTTCATAAAGTATAAAACATACCTTTTTTATTGATTAATATTACAAATTGCTCGATTAATCTTTTCAATTACGCGCGCTCATTCACGCATATTTATTATGTCTATCATTTACACTTGAACAAATCTTTGAATCAAATGCATAACTCTGATTTATTGAATATTGACTATGTACTATTTTTAATTTCATTATTAATCAATAGCTCCATTTTAACGCTTTGACTCAAAACTAACAAGCTGATATTCTTAAGATCAAAAAGCCACTGGAAAGAATTCACCTGAGACGAAACTATCAGTTAGGATTTCTGAGAATTTCTTTTAGACAAAATATGATGATAATTTTATACTGTGAAGTCAAAACCTGGCCTCCTGTTCGAATTTTTTGGAGGAGAAGGATTTTTGGTCTTATTCAAGGCAAACCACTTAGGAATATCATTTAGTTGGAGGATTTCTTCATGAGCTGACAAAAGTTAGAGAACACTCGAAAACCAGCCGCAGGAGTACTGGGCAGCTGTTTCCTCCGTCCTAGTTTAGGGACGCACCCAACATAGGGGTTCGAACCTAGGACCTTCTGCTTACAAGGCGATCAAGCCTGTAGACCAATCGGACCCGATCCATTGGCCAGCCCATGAATTCTAACGTCTGCCAATTTATAACATAGTGAGACCACTTCTCAATGTCTTCTTCGATGAGTTACTGCCTCACCTTCAACCCACTATACCCTAATGGTCACGACTTCCCACTAGACCCCCAGGTAACTGCCTGAATGGATATGAGCCCGCTTGCCTTGTCACCATAAGGTCGTGGGTTCAAACCTCTATGATGGGTGCGTACTGATGAAGAGTCCCAAACTGGGACGAAGGAGACAGCTGTCCTGTAATTCGTGCAGCTAGTTTTCCAGTGGTCCTGTAACTGATGTCAGCTCATGGTGAAACCCTCCAGCCATTCAAACAAACAAAATCCCTACAAACCAATACTTGAAAATATCACTTATTTTACAGATTCTCTGTCTATACTCTAGTTGACAATGTTTAATTTTCTACAGACTACATAGACTACTTATCACTGATAGTAAGTAAGTTGGAGCCATAAAAGTAAGGCATCAAAATTACAAAATTACTCAGTTGGGACATCTTTGTCGATAGATGGACAGGTAGATAGATAAATAAACAGATTTAAGGAAAGTAAAACATAAAAATAATAATGGCAGTAGTACTTTAAGTGAGGTTTTTTCCTACTCAGACTAGTTTTTGGACAGATAAATCTCTTAATGTGTTGCTTAGCAACGGATTATATTTGTCTTCAATTTTCATGAGATAATTATAAGTAGTAGTATGCTACTTTCGTTTTTAACTACTTTTTAATAGACAGCATGATGAGGGAATACGCTGTTAGCAATTAGCAACACACACAATGTGTGTGTGTTTTAAAAGTAGTGGACTCGTTGATTCAAACAAATTTATGAACTTATGAATAAGAAACAGATTGCCTGAATAATGCCCACCTGTTTCACTCAGTAAACTAGGCAATATCTTGCAGCTTGTATGATGATAGTGTAGGGTGGGGGAAAGCAAGAAAGGTTTCATTAGTCTGAAATCAATGTGGATATCTGCCGCACTGAATTTAAGTAAGAGGAGATTCAGAATTTTAACAGCAATTTCAAGTCAGTCGGTGTTTCCATTATTGGGTCTAGATACTTGGCGTGCATAGTCACAAAGAGTACTTCCAATAGACCGTTTAAGACATTCATCAACAGACTTCCTCTTCCTTTCATAGTGTCGACTTGATGGATGATCGGAAAGGATTAGTGACAAGGAAGTCTGCAAACGAATGAAAAACAAAAAACCCGTCGCCTAACAGTTTGTGCAGAAGAAAACAGAGGTGGTTGGATCATTCCATCATGAGCTGACATTAATTAGGTAACTATTAGAAATTCAGCCACAGGGAGTACTGGAGAGCCGGCTCTCTCGTCCATTCTAGTCTGGGACTCTTCATCAGTACGCAACCGCCCACCTCTGAGGTTCGAACTCAGGGCCTTTTGGTTACGAGGCGAGCGATCTCGTAGACCATTAAGCCACTAGGACCCGATGGAGATGGATTGAAGAAGTGATGAGGAGATCGTTGGGTGAAATCATACAGCAGGCACTTGAATGTGACCCAAATAGAAATTGAATAGCTGGCCGTGGCTCCAAGTGTGACATAGAGAGAGAGGATCGTTAGAAGAGGAGGAAGTAAGGGGTTATTGGCATTCGTGCAGCCAGACAAAGAGGACTGCAGGGAACAGGATGAAATAAAGATTTGCTACTGAAGTTCTATACTGCACTAGAAACCCAGTGGAACAATAATAACAATAATCACTATAGATTTAGTTATAATCTTCTCTTAGTCTCTACCCTTCATAATTTAACTCATTAAAATAACAAAGAGTCATAGTGACCAAATAAGACAGAATAAATTCACATTATAAAACGGAATCATTTAATTTCAAAGGTTCTCGTCACCTACAAACTATCTAAATTTTAAAAAGGCTAATTTAAATGTAGAAAATTATGCTTTTGGTTAAAGTATCCATACTCCTGAAGATCACATGTCTAAACTTTATGATTTCTTGTTCAAGTCGTCATCAATTTTTATACACGTAATTTCAAGAAGTTTAGGGAAGAAAATAGTTAAGACGATTACTATAAAACGCATTAATTTATGAGATTATTTGACAAACAGAGAAACAGCAGTCTCTAAGATTGAAATGAACTTAGTGTGTTAAAATCAGGAAGCAAGTAAAATAAACAAAATGATCCTCTTTCTTTGTAATGGGCGCAAAATGAAACGAAACCATTTTGTGACTATCACTGTTGAGAAGTGTCGTAATCCTGATATTTTGTGTATGTACTTAATAGAATAAGCAGTAAGTGGAAACAGTTTAAGTTGATGGGTCATTGTTGGCCACCATAAACCAAACACCGGCATGTTAACCCTCAGACAACGTCCAACCCTCTAGACTGGGAGACGAGACGTCAAAGCAGAAACAGAACATCTCGATCCGATCAATAAATCTCTCAAAAGGAAATACAAAATAATTCTCAGAAATAACTATTGATACGTGCTACGCGGTAGATTTGTCTCGTTGCCCAGTATCCCCGTGAATGGCACTTTGGCGCTGGCCACTATGGTATCTAAGTTAGAGTCTTATTGGAAACTCCATTACTCCCTGTGGCTGCAGACACATCCAGCCGATGAGAACCCATTTCGACGAAATATCTATCGACTGGGTTACAGTGCTGGCCATCACCAAACAAATAACAAAAGTAATATTGTAACGGCAGAAGACAAGAGGCTTGGTAACGAATCTTTTTGTTAAGGAAGAACACCGTATTTACACGTTTTTAGCCACACTAACGGCTGACCATGTCAGCAGACAATAAAGTGTTCTGATTGGTTGTCGATTTTCCAAAGGTCAAATCTTCAGGAGAAAAGTTGTCCTATGAGACTCTTTCCTGACCACAACGTAAACCGAATTCGAATATGAGGAATAAACACTTCTACATCTGCAGCCATTGACTTAAAATATTGTTTTCTGTCAAGCTGCGTCTTTATACCACAGTATGGAATCATTAAGAAAATGACCTGTTGATAATTAGACCCCTATTATATAATGGAATTCGAAATTTTTGAGGCTCATCGTCTTCATTTTACCATATAATTACTGAATCACTATCTAATGGTATACTGAATAGTACTTTCGTTAAGTTTGAAGTATGTCGTCGTCTGTCTGGACAACATCTTTAGTGCCAACTACCGCCTGGAAGTGGGCTTTAAGGATCTTCTACGGATAAACTATTATTCTCTCTTCTGGTGATGTTGACTGTAATTTGTCTTGCCGACAGATTTCCTTACGACTGTATCCATTTTTATTGTTATGGGTCACCTCGCTGAGTTGATATTTAACCTTGCAGTTGTTTGACCTAAGTGAATACGACAACATTTTTTGAGGTTCTTTGCAAACCGCTGAGTGACTTCAAAAGTCACGAGTAGAGTTTGGGTCAAGAGTGTTAAGTGGAGGTGACTGTATGGACAGGTGACAAAAGGTTATGGGCAGTCGTCGGGTCTTCTCAAATTGATGGTGGAAGAGAACAGACTGAAATGGAGGTGTGCTCCAGAAGCTATGTGTTCCTTTTAGAATCCAAGAGAGTAACAACAGTTCAGATATAGTAATGAATGATCAATAAATGTCCTTAGTTTGACTCTTCCTTATCATGATTGCTGAAGAATTCATCAATGACAATGCCAGATAGTCTCGCCAAAATCGCAATATGACTGGAATTAGGATTCATGGGACATTGGATCCCGGCTCAGAGGGACTATATCATCAACGGGCTTGGCCTCGTAAGCAAAAGGCTTTCGGTTACACCCCTGATAGGGTCGTGGACGTATGATGCAAAAGAGTCTTAAGGCGGTACGAAACAGATGTCCAGTATTCCCTGCCAGTTTTCAACGGCTCTCTAAATGACATCAATTGGTGATTAAAATGGAATTCTCACAACAGTTTTAACTGTAAACTGTTTTGAGCTCTCTTAACTTTAATGTCTGACTATGGGCTACATAAGTAAACTTATAATCTAAAAAATTTCGAAACTCTGAGGACGTTAAACCGTTGTCATCCTCATCCTGAGCTGAAAATCTTCCAAATCGTTATTATTACAATTTTTGTTATTCTAACTTGTATTTGTCCATTTTTTTGTATTCCCATTGAAAGGTTTATCAAATTGTCTATGTTCTTCTACGAATGGGTGATAGTCCACGACCGGCAAACTGGATTTTAGAACGTTCAGTCGACGGAGAAGTTTATCATCCGTGGGTATTTTTTGCACAAACTGAATACGACTGTAAAAAGTTATATGCACCGCTTATTGATCGACCGTTAACAATAACAAGTGGACCAAGACCATGGCATTTGGGTGATGATGAAGTTAGTCATGTTTAAGGTGTTCTGTCGTCTTTTTAAAAAAATCATTTTTATGTTGATATAGATGGCTTTTTTTAAATCCATCAGCTTTCATCATTCTGTCTTGTGCTAGTTACATTGCATTGTACTGCAATCTATATTGAGTTTCATTCATAGATCTATTTATAGAGTCAATAAAATACGAGAGAACCAACCAGTGAAGGAGAACGCAGACTAGTTCATGAGTTTTTGTCAATTTAAATCGACTGAGATAGCTGTGAATTATCCCTCACCTTATTTGGTCACAATTATGATATTGTTGGAGGGATCAGATAAATGTGTGATCTGCAAAATCTATAATGTCATTGAGTAACGAAGTTTCCAAGGTAGAACTGTGCACAGAAGTACAGTTGTTCGAGATGTCGCATTCCATACAGCACACAAAGCAAGGGGGAAGAAAGAAAACAAAAGCGACTCACAAAAAACTATAACGAGTCGATAGTTACTTCCACAATGTAGTCATGGTTGTCGTCTGGGTGACTGGAGCGGATTGCTGACTCTTCTCCTTCAGTTGAAAATTTGGATGATCCACATCCATTTTACCTGCTCATACAGATTCCTAGCACTTCCATGCTGTTTTTTCTCATTTCTTTGGCTACCTGGACAGTTTTATCAGCTTTGAAAATTGTACGAACGTTCCACATCCCCCTTCTTAGTTTTGCTTCCATCGAAAGAAGACACATCAGCTGATTGACCTCTTCCCAATGGCTTTCATTAGCTCGCGTCATTTCGTCTCTGCAATCCCGGCGAAGAATAAGATAACACCAAACAAATTCAGGGTGGTGATGTTTAAATCTATGGTTGGTTCTTATAGATTTATCACACACAGCTAAATCCTGAATAAAATATCCAGCCGTCTAGTTAGAATTTGTACTAATGAAATGAAAAACTGACTGACGGAGGGATTCAAACCATCAGCTCTTCAAATGACTAGTCCAGTATCCTACTAGCCAGTAGAACTATGAGACCCAAGTGGTTATCGTTTCACTTTAAACAAACACTTTTAATCAATACTTGGTAATGATAAGTCTTTTGAAAAAAAAAACAGCTGTTGAATGTGTTGACGTTTCACAAAAAATAAAGAACTTTCTTTCCCTGTCTGTCTTTCCTCTCTAATTCAGGTTTATTGTACAACATTTTATAGTCAACCTCAGGTATTACAATCTGGTGAAATTATTGTCACATTGACGTTGGATCGTGAAAGTACAATATCGCCTACAAGTGGAATTGAAAGTCCCATATCATTTAAACTTATTGTAAGTTAGTCAGCCATCTGTTTTTTTTTCATTTTTATGATTATTATGAGATGAGTAGAACGACGAGACACATTTTTGATCGGATATTACGTTGTTTTCAATAGTCATGCTAGTTATCTGTCATTTTTCTCTAGTAGTTTCCGACTGGTTCTATTGCCTAATTTCAGGTGTGTATGTCATTTGAAAGTTGAAAGTCAGTTTAAAAAAGCTAATCAGCGCTTTCTAGTTTTGGTGTTTTAGTACTACAAAGTACTGAAAAGTCGTAGAGTAGAATGAAACAGCCACCTAGTTCTTCCTGGTTCTATGGATATTACCTGATATCAAATGATATCAGGTGAAAGTTAGGTCACAAACATACTTGTCAATCTTAGTCAATGCATAAATAGTCTTGAATAAGTACATTAGAGTTGTTGGTTGGTTGGTTGGTTTAAACTGCGTTTTAATTTCAACATTATTAAGAATTCTAAGTAACACTTAAATGGGTAGTAGGGAAAATTACAGTAAAAAGCAGTCAACGGTAAGATAATACAAAGAGAGTTATCAAGTTTTGCGAATAAATATTGTGATATGATCGTGAACAGCAAAAATTTTACTAGAAACGTGTTGTTCAATTACTACACCTATATCACTTTGTTTCATATCAAATAATATGGAATTATATTCCACTAGACAATGCCTAAATCTTGGGCGGTGGTGGCATAGCGATGGAATGCTCCCCAACCATGCCTCATGTGGTCTGCGGTTCAATCCCCAGGCAACTCGATGCATACCTTAATCTCTCTAAGCCAGTAATACGACTAGTAAAGAGGGAAAGTTGGGGGTGCTTGAGGCTAGTAAACCGCATCCCGTAAAAATAAAATCAGCTCACTGCTAACGAAATTTCAAGTCTTTAGCTTGAAGCCCTACGTGTTCTACTGGAAACGTAGAGAAATAAAAAGAAATGCCCAAATCTTACTCTTTCATCAATGAATATTGAGCAGTTATTATCTACTAGTGTAAGCCATCATCAAAATCTGCATATTTCATGAAATCACAAACTATATAACCTATTTCCTGCCATTATTATACTTCAGGCGTATTGATTAACTCAAAAACTCGTTTACCGACGATTTCACATGTAGTTTACCAGTTTAATTAGAGCATATATGTTTGTGAACTAAACATTACAAAAGGGAAAGTAGACCACAGATCCTCTGGAAGGCGAAATGTCACTGACTAGATTATGTAACCATAAATGGTGTTATAATTATGAGCATTAGTATACTTCTCACTAAAGTGAGCATTATACACTTCATAGCGCTTATATTGCCTAGTCTTAACACTATAATTCTGGTCGTGTGGTAGTGTGATCTGATTGCTCTAGTCTTCCAAGGAAGCGGTAGTGAAACTTCACTCTACAATATGTGTGCTTTGCAGAATTTTAAATTTTATCCCATGTTTTACCAGTAGCTAGTCAAAATGCCTGTATTTTCAAACAGTTCGACTCTTTGAAACAAGTCACTATGGATCCAAGGGATCTAGTTAACGAGTACTATTGTCCTCTGTCATTTGTACTGACAATACAATAGTAGAATGCTCGTTGAACACATCTGCGGTCTGGGTTCCATTTCTAGCTGACGCATTCTTAAGCCTTGCTTAGTTTATTAACTGATGGTAAGCCCAAAAAAGAGGGGTATGTTGAGCATAAGGCTAGTTACCAACCAACCACCTTTAACACACTCGGAACGCATAGAATGTCAAAAAATGTCGTTTGGTGTGAATAGTTCTCATATTATTCAGTCGATAGGATATATTATATTCTACACATCATTTCAACTTATCATGACTTCAGTCTTTCTTATTACTAATTTGTTTTTGACATTTTTGTTTCATTTAGGACTTTTTATCGGCTCGATTTGTTCGACTACGGTTTCAACAATTACAAACACTTTCTGGTGATTGGATGGCTATGCCAAATCAATTGGACAGTTCAGTATACAACAGGGTATGTTGTAAATTTTTGTTATATGTTCTTGTTTTATTCCTTTACATTCCCAGTGGAACATATAGGGCTTCAAGCTACAGGCTTGAATTTTCAGTAGCAGTGGTGTTTATTACTTTTACGCGATGATGCTCAACCTTCCCTCTTTAACGAGCTTGTTACTGGCTTAGTGAGGTAAATGACTGCATTCAGTGGCCGAGGATCGAACCTCGGACCACTTGCTAGGTCGGCGAGCATTTTACCGCCTTGCCACTGATGCACTTCTATCACAGATATAAGTATAAAACTTGGGAACTGTGGTAGAGTATAAGTCCATTATGGATAAGATTTTATTTCGATAAATCACACAGTGTTAATATTAATATATAACTGTACAATACTGTGTGATTTATCGAAATAAAATCTTATCCATAATGCACTTCTATTATATGTGTATACATGTAACTACTTACTAGTCGTCATGCGTCAGAGTCCTTGAATAAAAAAAATGCATCTTATTTAAATTTTACTGCCCAAAACGAGAGAGACAGACATTCCATGCTGAGAACATTTCGATATGGCTGGCTAGAAAACCCATATAATTTATTCGGGTGGTGTTTAGTTACTCATATAAACCAATAAGTAGTATATAGCCTAGTAAATAGTGTGGTGTAGGGGTACATAAATGGGTGAAGATACATTTGACTAATAAGTTTTGACAAGTTCTCTGACTTATGACGAAAATTCGCTTTTTTTTTCTCTCAATTCGTAGAATATTCTCAACGAAAGTAAGTGTAGTTCACGACATAAGCGTATTTTAACATGAATCTACCACGTGTGAAAACTATAAACCTTCAAATTCCAAGGGATAAGACGTCTCATGGTTATTAGTTAAGGGAAACAACCTGTTAAATGTGAAAATGCTTAGAACGAATCAATACTGAAATGCAAACAGGGGACTCTTCTGAAGACCCAGTACCTTAATCTGACTACCAATTACTTCTGGCCGCCTGAGTCCATACAAATAAAGTTTAGTTATGACGGAGAAGATTTGTAGCTCAGGTGGATGGACTATTTGCGAAGCTTTCATTGCCCCAACACTAGGCAACATCTTCAACGCATACTTCAGTTTACGATGAAAGCTTGGCAAATAAACCATCCAGCTCAGAGAGCACAAATACATTAAAAACAAATGAAGCTGGAAGACATACTGTTTCGACTAGGTGAGGACAGTTTTATTTTATTTAAGACAAAATACACTATGCGTGTTTGCATCATAAATTCTCAGAAAACTAATCCAATTAAATGACTAATTTAATTGGTTGCATAAACCAGGGATTCAAGGTTGTCTGATTGCATTTCTAGGCAGTTTAAGCCCATTTTATCTGGTTTTATCCTCTTTCTCGCAGTCAATTAAGACTGGTACAAACTGAAATATGTGAGTGTGAACAAATTAAAAATTAAATTTGAGAGACAACTTCTGATTACTGGCTTTTGCTCGATGCTGTTTAAGATAAAATGTAGTAGGGTGCATATGTTACGCTTCGTAACGAGGTGGAATTACATTTGAAACATGATTCATAACCTGAAAAGATGACTTGTTATTATTCAAGGACTAATTGGTATATATCACTTATGAAAGTTAAAGTATTAACGAAGGGAAATTCAGGTTCCAGACTGTCTTTTCATTCACACAGCATCATGTATATACGTTAACTAAAGACAATATTATCAAAAAAACAAAAACTTGAGTTGGTGAAACTGTTTAAATTAACAAACTTCATGCTATTGACTGTAAATTCTACTGACTAAAGCATGCGCCCCATTCAATTAACAATCTTTTATTCATAGACCATGAGAGAGGTTGGGTGATAATATACGATAAATAACTTTAAACCTAAGTCTATTTTTCTCACCTCTTACCTCTTTATTAATTTAAAAGCTTTGTTAGAGTCGATTTGACGTCTAATATCGTTGAAATGAGCTAGTATTGAGCTGCGTATAGCTGCTTTATTCGAACCTTTGCCAAACCAAGATGAGAGGAGGTGTTCGGAAATTCAATGATGAACTTCCCTAATCGATCGCCTAATGTAATTAGCCCCAAACGGGCAGTTAAAGTGGCAAATACATATGGAAGAGGTGAAACACCGCAGTCTGTCTTTATTTCTTGAACTAACTATTGGTCGGTTAGTGAATAAACACCATAGCTTAGCTGCAAAGAAAGTCCTTTTGAAGGCTCTTTTCAGACGTCGTGATAAGATCTCACTATTGACATCACCCGTGAGTTGTCACCTTCGGAAAATTGACTTTTTGGGGACAGTTGGCAACTTCGACTTTTTTACTTTCTGAGTTCATGTGTTTCTTTACCAATTTAGTTGGATATCCGTTTCTACTTAGTAGATCACGAATATTACTGAGTTTTTCGTCCAATGTTTCAAAAAATAAAGACAGACTGTCCTGTTTCGCCTCTTCCATGTGTATTTACCACTTTAACTACTCACGCGGAGCTAGTAACATAGGACATACGATCAGGCAAGTTCACCGCCGAATTTCTGAACACCTCCTCCCACCTTGGTTTGGTAAAGGTCCGAATAAAGCAGCTATACGCAGCTCAGTACCAGCTCATCTCGTTGATACTGACTGGACATCAAATCGACACTAACAAAGCTTTTAAAGGTATTTATTCCATTCCAAATATCATAAATCAAGCGATTGAAAAGAGTCTCTTTCTCTCTCTCTCTGAAGTTTTCAAGAGATCAGTCGAACTTTGCTGATGTTTGATATACCAACTTATTTAACACACACAGACACAAAATATGTTATTCAATCTCTAAACAAAATGCCTAAATTCAAGTTGTGAATTAATCATTAGTCTCAGTGTGGAATATACTTTCTAATTATTAAATACTCTAAACACATTGGCATAAGCATAGTAAATAGAGGGTGTATTTTAAAATTTGTACGCAATTCTTTTCCATTGAATTAAACAAAGAATTGTATCTTCAATGTTCAAAGTGTTCAATACTCAGCGTTACACGAGTCTGTGTGAAAAAAATAGAACAAACAAAACACACTATCAAGGGAAGTTAAGTGAAATTACACATTATTAATTAGAAAAGTGTCTCTCTGTTAATATTAGTCTTCACATATGTATGTATATGTGTGTATGTGAGTGTGTTACATCACCGCTGATATTGATTTGTTTTCAACATCGTCAACACCATCCTCCTTCTTATTTTTGTCAGTAAATGAGTGTACCGTAATTAAAACAAAATTGGCTAATAGCCAGCCAGCCAACTAGCCAGACCATATATTCATACCATAAATATTCATCTTCGTAAATTTTAATTCATGTATACGTTTGCATATGCATGTATACACACATAGGTGATATTAATTAATTTATCAAAGGTGGTTTCATCCTCACTCTCACCATCATGATTTGAAGTTGAACAATTTTCATAAAGTTTCAAATCGTCTTTAAATAGACGTATTCATATGCCATTGTGTATGCACACATACACACCAAAAAATGTATTCAAGTGTCATATTTCAATGGGTTCAATATTGAAGTATTTGTTTAAATGCAGTAAATGTATTGTGTTTGCAATCCACGCGCGCGCACGCGCGCTCACGTACACACATTTGTAGTTTTTATCTACGCAATTAAGTGAATAAAAATATCTTAGACATACTGAAAAATTATTTTAAATCTTTAATAAATATAAACACATAAACTTCTTATTCTTCCCATCTACATGAAATAAATAAAATTAAAATAAACAAAGAGGTTAGTTATTCATTAGGCGGTATATTTAATAAATGGTATTAATAATTAAGACGTTACAAACTAGACCGGATGTTATCGTGAAAATTTTTAAATTATGGCTAGTTAGGTCAGATATATGTATGTATATACATTGCTTGTATATTCATTCATAAGGTGACAATAACAGAATGGCATGTTATTCAGCTAGAGGTAGTGTTTATAAGTTTACCCTAGACCTCATCAGTACTACATTTACGTTATTATATATATATATGTTTAAGGTTGGTTAAAAGCATACAGAATTATCAAGTTGGCAAATGATTTGAAACAGTTTGATTTTGATAAAAGTTCTGTGTGAGGTGAGTGCCAAAAAAAAGTGACTCCGTCTTATTTACTTTCGAAAATTCTTATATATCTACACAGTCTTTCAGTCTTAACTGATACGGATTGAATATTCTCAGTTTGGGACTTCTCAGCAGTACGCACCCAACGGGGTTCGAACCCCCCTCGTCTGCTCTCCTCAGTCTACTGTAGGTGGATCAGTGAGTGCCGATAATCTCTCATTTCCTTCTCACATGATCTCTCTCATTTTGCCTAAGGATACCAAACTTTTCATTTCTCAATCGGGTTGTACTCGAAAGCCTGGAGAGTGATTAGGTTTTTCGAACGCATAGAAAGAAGGATTGAGCAAAAAATATTCTTTACGATCGCTTTCTCATCAGGTTCTACAATTTTATACATATACATATTGTTCTGAAGAGTAGTCGTCAATGTCATTTTTAACTTATTCTGATCACCAATGGAAGTTGTAGGATAGTTAAAATCAGTTATGGGTAATATCTTATGGGATCATTGTTAATTTGTTTATCCTGATCCAACTTCGTAGAATATCACTGATTATCTGAATGTTATGCTGTTCAAATCATCTTTGAGTGAAACTAATGAGAATAAGTCTTCAGAAGAAGAGGGATTACACACAGGTTAGACGGAAACCACTGCAATGTAGTTCCTTAGCCAGGTTTTATTTTTTTTATTCCCAGTAGAACAAATAGGGCTTCAAGCCAGGCGCTTGAAGTTTCTGTATCATTGGTGTTTACTTTTAGGGGATGGGGTTGCTAGCCTCATTCTCAACCTTCCCTCTTTCCCAGTCTTATTACTAGCTTAGCGAGGTAAAAGAGTGTGTCCAGTGGTCGGGGATCGAACCCCGGACCACATGAGGCATGGTTGGCGAGCATTCTACCACTGTGCCACCGAC